TTCACCTCCTATGCCTTGTTTATCACCATCAAGTGGACCCTAGCTAAATAAACTCATTGCAAGCATTAGTCCATATGGTTGGCACTCAATTACCAAAACCAAACTAGGGCTTTGATTTTCACTTGCTTTCTCATAGTGTCACTAGATCTACTGCACATGCATAGTTAAAACATCACCTAGTGGCACTAGACAACTACAATCACTTTAGAGTTTCCCTCTTCATAATATGGCTATCCACCTTGTTTGGTGAAAACAAAACCCCTATTGCATGTACCTTTGCCTTTGGGCTTATTTCCATCTCCATTTTCTTTCTTCTCCAATGTTGAGCACTTGCTTCATGGTCATGATCATCATCTTCACCATCTCCTAGACTTGCTCAACTCTTTCCTCAGTTTTAGTAATTAGTGTACCCCTTGTATTTGCTTCTCCTGATGGTTGGTCAAATAATAAAAACGTTGTATTTTCCGGTACATCATTATGGATTGGATTAGTCTTTCTGGTAGCTATTCTGAATTCTCTTATTTCTTGAATTTGTTTAGTATTTAGTAACCCGATACAAAATAAATAAAAAGAAAGGCCCTTTTTTCGAAAAAATTCGGATTTTTATACACATTAAAATGCTATCATGTGGACCTAGCTCAATCATCTCTATTAAAAGCATTAGTCCACTGGTTGTCACTCAATTATCATAACCAAACTAGGGCTTTCAACTAGCCATCATGTTTTCCAACTCCATGCACCATGATATCCAATGTAGCTTGAATCTCTATTTGGACTAACCTTTCTTTGCCTTGAGCTAGACATCATGTTTTCCAACATACACCATGATATCCATTATAGCTTGAATCTCCATGTGAACTAATCTTTCTTCAAATCTCAAATGAAAATAGTAGTCCACAACTATTATCATTAGTTATCAAACCCAAATTGAGGGCTTAGATGCTTTCAGTGACCAAAACCAATGATGCCATGTTTAGACAAACATGAGTACTAGTCTATCGCCAACAGACCTAAGCACAATGGGGTTCCTAGGCAAAACTTACCAGCCAATGCTTAGCATAGTTTGGCAGCAACAATGTTGGTTCATGACATCAACATTGGCAAGGCCACAGGGGTGAAGCCTAGCATGCCCAGCAATGAAAGAACAACCACAATGAAGAATGACAGATGGACAGCTTATCCCTAAAGCACAAGGTCACAAAACAACGATGCGGCCATTTCCCAGTTAGCCATGGTGATGATAGCCGAAGAAACAAAGAGCGCTGGAAGGGGAAGTGGCTTGACGATCGGTGGCCACCCTGGCAAGGAGGAAGGACATGACCACAATGATCGCCACCATTACCATTGCAATAACTGGATGAGTCTATGGGACTGCACTATCACCATGACAACTATTTGCAACTAGAAGACCATGGGAAGAATGATTAGCCCATAGAGAAGCTAGATCTAGTAGGGAAAGGCAGAGATTTGGCTAGAAATTGGGTGGATCATTGGGATTGGGGGTGGATGCATCGTGCCCCATGTATCTAGTCCTTTACCCTGTCATCTCCCATTGCACAAATTCCATGCATGTCTAACACAAACCTTTCTCAGCTCACGCACCCTGCTACCATTCATGGAATCAAGTAGTGGTCACTTCTCTAAAGTGTTTGGTTTAAATGATATGCAATCTATCACAACATGATCCCTAACTTATATGTTTGGTTTGAGACAAAACCTATTCCATCAAAGATACAAGGACTTGCAGAGGATCCCCTTTAGGAAAAAAAAAGCATTCTAGAAGGTGGCATATCCCTCTTGTCAGCAAATCCTAGATCGAGCTAGAATGTCTGCCTCCACTACCATGAAGAAGCGGCCTCCCTAGTAACCCCTATTATTAGAGCATAGTAGGCATTTTGCTAGTATGCTTCAACTTCGGCCATCGCATCCTATTTGTATTAGATAGTATGAAACTAATATATTTGTTGCTACAAACTTATGAGTGCAAGGAAACACCAAATTTGGAGATAAAATGAACAAGTTATGTAATAAACAAGACTATATGGACCTATCTGCAAAGGAAAACTAGGTTTTCATGGCTTTTGTTCAAATATGCCAATGTACTAGGAAATACATGCACAAAATGTATAAACTTTGAGGGATTTCTACAAAATTGTGGCCCTGACTAGCCTCCTCATTTGTTGACCATGGTGTGTTGACCTGGTCCTTGATAGATATGATTCAATGCTACTTAATTTAGTGGCTAGATAAAATTCTCCTCCTCACCCTAGTCACCGGCATTAAGAGCTCATGGCGACAATGAACGCCAGGGATGAAAATGGTACGGATATTTTCCGACCGTATTCGAAACCGAATCCATTTAGAGGGGTTGAGATCTGTCCGTATCCGAGTCCGGATATCCAACATCCGATACCGTATCCGTATCCGAATACTCAAATCGCATATTTATTATGTCAATATCCAATCGTATCCTATCCGACATAGTTGACACTATCCGTATTCGAATCCGAATCCGGACAGAAATATGAAAACAAATGTAATATCGGTGATATCCGTCCGTATCCGATCCGTTTTCATCCCTAATGAACGCTAGATGGCACATTGTAGTGTACCAAAAATTGAGTGGCTAGGATCTACAGAAGGAGTGCACGTCGAATGCATCCAAACAGATCTTGATGAGAGAACTAGGATGATGATGGCTGTCCCTAGAGAGCACGGGAGATGGGTGTTCAATGTAGCAAAGCAAGAGCTAGAGGGGGTGGGAAAAACAAGATGGGTCTTAGGAAATAGATCACCTCGATATGGACTCGGTTGTGTCTCTCTCGAGGATGTGGATGTAGTAGATGCGAAGATCACTGATGGTGTGTGTATGAGATCTGGCCAGGGGCTATGACTACATCTAGGGCATGGGTCATGTCTTTTCTTGATACAAAAAAGAGGACATGGGAGCAGCGGCTTGCCATTAATAGGCCGTGGCATTGGGATCAATTGTCTTAGTGTAGGTATGGATCCGACTCAACCAGAAAGCACTATGGATTCATTCTTGAATTTGGCTCATGCTGCTGGTGCAATTTAGAGGATAAGGCTGTCTTGCAGCCTCATTATAAAGAAAAAAAGAAGGCACTGGCGCCTAGCACACTGTTGTTAGGCTACAACAACTCAGAGCCTAGGCTAGTCCACAAGAGAAATAGGTGGTGGGATAAAATTGGCCAAAGCATAAGAAACACAAGGAAAAGACAATTTTCTTTCGACGGAAAATTATATAAACTCACTAAAACAATTCTAGTGCAGTGCTAAATCACACAAATTATTCTAAGCAGCCTAAAATTAGAAGTGTAGTAGCATCAGTGCAACATAGCATGAGCGCACAAAAAAAGTTATATCATATGGTTGATTTATATTGCTTTAGAAAATAAATATTTCCTCTTAAACAAAGTATGAAGCTCTCTATAGAAAATTAAAGGCATATTGACTAAACTACAAAAACTTAAATTTAGGGTGTTAAACTGCGCCCATAACCAACATACGACCATATGGCTATAAGTGCCAGCTCTAATACCATTTATAACACCTTAGAATCCAAATAATTCATATCCACTCACATATTGAGTGGACAACACACTCCTACTGACTCATTTACGATTTCATCCTTTTTTATGCAAATGAGTTATTGTAGGGTTAGTGATGTTGATTCTACAAGTACTAGGGTCATATTGGTTGCCTGTATAGTTTGCTCGTATTTGATTGTCTGCATAGGCTCTTATGCAAGGCTTGCACAATGCTCAAAGTAGGCTCAATGTTGCATTAGGTAGTACACTAGATTTGGTTGCATTAGACAGTGTAAGTTTGCACAAATCGATGAGCACACAAAAATGAAATATTATCATCCCCTATACCTCTACTAGAAACATGAGACCTTAACTAGAACATGGAGATGACTATATGTAAGAAAATATAAATATAAACAACGAAACACAATAACAACCAAACACCAAAACATTGCATACGTTTACGCTGGCATAGGTTATGTTGCATAACGTCTAATGCAGACTAAGACTAATGTAAGCAACCAATCAGACCTTATATGTTAGAGTAAGTTATCATCGAGTATCAAGTTGGGACTAAATCTCCACCACAACAACCACACACACCACATTGAGGGCCACCCTGGGCCTAATTCCTATTGGACTAGGATGTGACAATATCAGCGAGAAGAAAGTGATTGCGAACTTTGCTCCCAATGGTAAGATCCACAAAGGTGACTCCCTTAGCACCAATAGGTTCAACTCTAAGTGTTATGTTGGTCCTTTATAAGCTTATCATCCAATTTAGTCAACTTCTTAATTAAAATGGAATAGGTCATCAAATTCAAAATTGCCCCATCATCAACAAGCATTGTACGAATCAGTGTCACATTGAAAGCATCCAGGTCCCTATTTCAGTTTTGATAACTAATGACAACACTTGTGAACTAATATTTCAAGTGAGATATTAAAAGATAACATGTTAGTTCACATGGAGCCATTGAGCAACATGGATGTCATGGTGAAGATGGCAGGAAACATATCGATAAGACTCAAGACAAAGGTGTAAGATAAGGGTTTAAATTTTGGCAGTCTTAAGGTGATTATAGGATGTTAAATGACCTGAGTTCTTAGGCTATATAACCATAGTATCAAGAGGGTCAAATGTGTTTTGCATTTTAGTTATCTAGTGCCATTTGTGAGGTCTGACAAATGCATTGCATTAAAAATCGACTGATGGTTTCAAGAGTAAGGTTAAAATGGTTTGAAGAGAAAGAAAACCTTTGAAAAATATACTTTGGTTAATGCTAGCTGAGCGTAAACATGTTACTATAGCATTTCCATCAACCAATTTATCCATTCATACACACTTTCTTCTCATTATTCATATCAAAGGTGAATTTAAAACTACATGCATGCACAATCACTATATGTTACTAGCAGCATATGTTTTGCCATTCAGTATGACCATCATGGTCAAAGCTTCTTCAACCTGATTTGAGCACCATGCTGAGGGTGCAAAGTTATCACGGTGTATGGCGCATGAGTGTAGGATGGAGAGAGCTCAAAGGAGAAGCGTTGAAGGATGGTGCACAGTGCCATCTTCGCTTCCAGCAACGCAAAGTTCTGGCCTATGCAGATCCTGGGACCCCATCCAAATGGAAAGAAGGCGGCCTGATGCTTGGTCGCATTGGAAATGCCATCCTCAAACCTCTGTGGATTGAACTCTCTTGCGTCTTTTCCCCAGATGTTTGGATCATGGTGAATGAAGATGATGGGCAGTAGAAGGCTCACGCCTGAAGGATATTTGATGCCACCAAGCTCCATTTCCTTGTAAGTTCTTCTGGTTAGTAAGATTACTGGTGGGTACAACCTAAGGACCTCATATAGAATCATGGTTACCTGCAGAACCAAAACAGAGGGTCAAGATCATTAATCCTGATACACAAAAAAAAAAAAAAATATCAGATATCCTGTTTTTCCCTCAGAAAAGTTTTTGTTTCACAGTTATTGGGGGGTTTCTCACACATATAAACAGTCAGACTTCCTGAAGCGGTCTAGAACTGCAATTTCCAAAAAGGATGCAAGGTGTAAATAATAAGGTTCCTTCGGCACAAAGTTTAGGTCATCTCCAGCATGTTTCTACAGTATATTCAGTGAGTCGTTCAAGATATTAATGTTAACATTGTTGGAATGTAAGGCCCCACAGTTCTAGAAGCAAACCAACAGTTTCTCCACCAGAATGACATGCAGACAACTATCAGCAGAATTCAATTGTCTGGAAATTAAAATCACAAAAAGTAGCTATTTTTAGATGAATTGTTTAGTATTTTGTCAATCTAATCCTGATAAAGTAATGGAAACTTAATAGGGGCATTTGCAATTTTGTCACTGGTTTTATTGTTATTTATTGTACGAATGCCACTCAAATGACAGTGTTAGTGGTATTTATGCAATTTTCTGTTGTCAAGCTTGTAACAGTGTTCAAAGTGGTGGCAGAGTTCCAATTGCTCCAAATTAATAATGTCTTTAATATCTATCAATTTCTGTATTTCATTGAACAAAAGAACAATGATTCATACTTACAATCTTCAGGCGGTTCAAGCTATCAAAATCTGGTCTACCTCTTCCAAAGTGGTTTAAAACTTCTTCTCTTGCCTGCTCTTGCCATTCGGGGTGCATGCTTAGCACAATTAATGTCCATGTAAGCAGGACTGATGTGGTCTCCATACCTGCAAAGTAAAATAACTTGCATTCCTCGATCATATCATCAGTACTCATTCCCAGTTTTGCATTCCCATTTGATTCTCTCATATTTGACTCAACCAATAAGCCTAGCAAGTCATCATTACTTCCTTCACCATCTATAAAAGCCCTCTCTCTTTTCTTGATTATTCCATGCAGAACTTTACGGATCTCCCGATCAATTTCTTTCATCCTTCTGTTATTTTTGGTGGGCAAGAGCCTGCATATGTTCAACAGTGTTATAACATAACAGATTCTTGATTCCTACCGCAGAACGTCCCTAGTCTTTATCCCCCTACCCAGCTTGGACAATTGAAGTAGAAGTAAAATGCAGATTGTGTTCAAAATATTCTTGGATGTGGAGAAGTCTTTTCTGTATCTCTTCCTTTACTAGAAATGATATCAAATCATTACCTTAAAACATGGATAAGCAAATATTCCTACGCAGTGAGTCTCATAACAAATTGCTGTTGTTTATAAGGAAAAGAACAAACCAGTAGCCAGGGATAAATATTGTTTGAAAAGATTGTATAAGGCGTTCAGCCTGCTCTCCTTGCAGCTGGAAAATGTTCATGCCCTCCTGATAGTTGCTACCAAATGCGGTTCTTGAGATAACATCTCCAGTAAGATTTTGGAACTCAGGCCAGACGTCTATCTCAGAAGATCCCTCGGAAGACATTGAATTTTCCCATCTGTTAATCATATCGGTGCAACAGGTAGCAAATACAGGAAGCATCCGCTGTGAATGAAAAAACAATGTTAGTTCACTTAGGGTGTTCACTATCCAATATGATATATACAATTTGAACCAAGAAAAATATATCCATGGGAACAAATTTAGTGAACAATGACCTTTATTTTCTCATGGTGGAATGCAGGATTGAGAATTCTCCTGTGTTTTGCCCATTTCTTGCCTTCATGATTTGCGAGCCCGTTGGCTAGTAACTTGCCAAGACGGCTAAACAGTGGTTTGCCGAAGTGGCCAAACTTGTTAGACAAAACCTCTCTCATTAATTCTGGGTCTGGAATTATCACCCTCGGAGTCGGGCCAAACCAAGTGAATGAATGTGTCCCTGCATTTCAGTTTAGAACCCTGTAAGGGCTGTAGGAGGACTAGCAAACTGCAACCAAACCATTTTGCGAGGATTTTGGCAGCCACAAAACATGATTCAGAACTGGGAAAATAAACTGACTGTCACAGGATATCTAGTTCAATATTTTGACACGTGCAATCAAAATCTATGATCTGATTTCATACTTGGTCATGTCCATTCCACGCACGTAAATACCCCATTAGTGCATATCCGCATGTTTTCTTTCTGAACATACTGCACGCTAGCAATAGAAATAATTGCAGTCGTTGCATTAAGCTATTCTATCTTAAGCGGGGGATGTGACTGGATAATTGTGTCAACTATTTCATCCATCAGCGTACAATCAAGATACTTGTTGCATGTGAGTGGATAATTGTAGTGTTAAGCCTATAAAAGGTACCCAAGCTAATCTCGAACCAAACGTTCCGAACTTCTGATTCAACTCCTGTATATTCGTACCATATGTCCTTCTTGGGCGTTCACGGAGTAAATATGCTAAAAATCTCAGGAAATGAGCTAAAAAAATTAAAAAATCGCAACAAATGATTTCCCCTCAATAACTGGGAACAAAAGGAATCAATTTTAGATGTGGGGAATGATCTGGCCATCTAGGCACATAGAAATTACCATTATCCTTTACCAGGTTGTGGAGCATGGGTAGCACGCGGGGGATGATGTCGTGACTCCCAAGCGGCAGTGGCTTCGTGCGGGCTTCTCGGTTGAGCCGGGCGTTCTCCCTCACGTCGCCGGTGAGGAGGCGGTACCTGGTGCCCTTGAGGCCCTGGGCCCGCAGGGCTCGGTCTAGCCGCCGTGGCGTCCACCACGCCCACTCCAGCGTCCAGGCCACCAGCCACAGCAGCGCCACGGACGCCGCCGCGCCGCCCAGCGCCCACGGAGAGGTTTCCCGCAGCATCAGCAGAACGCGGGTCGCCATTGGTGCCTCGGCGGTCGGTGCAGTGGAAGAGAAGCAGAGGAAAGGCAGAGGCATGTGCCGGCCGATGTGTGATTGCGGCGAGTCCTGCTTAAATAAATATACGACGATGGGGATGACACGTATGCGTCTTTTGGCCACTTTCTCCTTTTTGTGCTTGGAGTCTCCGCGAGTTAACCCTGTTCAACGGTTTTGTTAAACCGGCTGCCGGACCGTAACCAGCCCAGGAAAAACCAGCATCACGGTTACACTGCAGTCTGGGCAGAAATCCGTCTACCCCACGAAGACTTCGACAGCCTCCTATCCGGTCACGGTTAAAACCATCCAAACCCGGAAAAACAAAACGAGGCTACGAGGTGTGGCGGCGGCGGTGAGCACGAGCTCGAGCGCGGCACCGGCGGCGGCGAGCGCGAGCACGGCGGAGGCAACCTCGAAGGCGGTGGGCACGAGCTCGAGCGCGCGCCGGCGAGCGCGACAGCTTCGCTCGCGGCCTTGATTTACATGCGTACGTTAACGTAACAACCACAGGAGCAATCCATAGTTAAACCATGTAAACCATGACCAACCCAACTGGAAGCCTGTTGGTTTGGCCGTGGCTTGTCGTAAACGATCGTAAATTTTTAGTTGGAATAGTATTTTTCTTTCATACAAACTAGCCAACAGTACTTCTTCACAAACCAGCAACAAAACGAACCAGCCAACAGGCCTTAAATTAATGAAACCCATTGTAACCCGGTGAAAACCACCCCAAACCACATCAGGATACTTATCTTGGGTTGGTTTGGAAGCAAACCAGAAACCGCCAAAACCAGCCCATGAACAGGGGTAACATTGAGTATATGAAACAAATCCATTGAGCTCGAGTACATTGGAGTGCCCTTTTTGTGCTTGGAGCCGCTTATCTTTTTAGGGTCTGTTTGGCAAGGCTCTGGCTTCTCTAAAAATGGCTCGGCTCCGGCTCTGGCTCCTCTGAAGGAGTAGCTCCTCTGGAGGAGCTGAAGCCGTTCTGGAAAACGTTTGGCAAAACGGCTCCTTCTGTTTTGTAGAATGGATGGAAGAGGGTGAATGTCCATATTGCCCTTGCTTTAACTTGGTTGTACATATGATCCTTGATGTCACTTTGTCAAACGACTGACCAAAATTAACAATGATAACATGTAAAATAATGTTACCTACTAATAGTGTTCGTTAGACTACAATAACGTTTACAAAAGTAGGAATGATATTGAAATATCATCAAACTACATGAACAAATTTTTTTCATTGTTAGCAGATCCTCCTCTTTCTGTGTTGCTAGCTCCTGTCATGGCCTCACCGCCCGTGCTGCACGCCATGACGCCCATTTGGTCACCGTGGCCTCCATGTCTTTTCACTTGGATGGACGAGGAGCAGAGAAGCTCAGTTTTGGGGCTCCGTCCGCAGCAGCACAAGAAATGCTCCGGCTCCCTTAGCTTCCGGCAGTGAGCTGGTTTACTCATCGGTGTTTGGCAGGGCTTGGCAGGATCGGAGGCAGTCATGAGCCGCTCGCGGAGCCCTGCCAAACGCCCGTTGACATTTGAACTGTAACTAGTGCAAACTAAAAATAAATGAAGTTAGTAATTGTCAGAAAAACCTGTCTCCCATTTGGTCGGCAGTTTTTTGACAGCAGAAACACTTTACCAAACTTAGTCTAAACCATTTTTTTTTCTTATTATCAAAGTATATTTATCCGTTCGGCGATGTGTCCCAAGTCATCAGTAACAATATTAAGTAGAACCTACTAACTCTTCTTTGGTGCATCCATCATCCATGTCATCAAATTACTTGAGGACCGTCAACTGGCATAACTGAACTGCTTGATGAAATCAAATGGTCATCCATTTTGGCTTTTTGCTCCATCATTATTGTTTCCTCTTTCACCACCTCCCCTCATATTATTCTTCTCTTTTTTATTCCTCTCTTTTTAAGATGGGAGGTCACGCAATGTGCAATCACTGCCAAACTATCACTATTATAGAAGCAATGCCACTCCCACCAATTTTTTATATGGAACACACACATATCAAAATTGAAACTTTAAAATGTTTGACCAATAATTTGACTAACATTTTTGAACTATTATAACACAAACTTTATAAAGTTAAATTTGTTAT